ATATACCTTTATTACTCTCCTTTTAATAATATTCATGATGCTGTTTTTTTACAACAACTAAATGACTGTGTATCACTTTATGATCCACATCGCTGTAAGAGCATACAGCAGATATTCAATCAACAAACTGGTCATAGTTTATCTGAATTCGATACTAAAAGCATACTGGATAGATGGCAACTAATTTTACCACTTAATAATGAGAGAATTGTTATGTCAAATATTGACATTAAAAAAGTTGTGCAAAATTACTGCGATTCCAAACATGGACGAATTTATCTATGTTACGGAACATATTCTCCAAAGCAGGATGTGTGCTGTGGTAGTCAATTAAACGTTCCAGTTTTTGGAAAAAATGCAACCATCTATTCATCTGACGGTGTCGAACAGATTTTATTATTACAAAAAACTTGTACGTTATGTAAACCTGTGTATTATCCGCATTATATTACAAAACAAGATGGTGTAGATTACATTATTAATAATGGATTTGATGATTTTATTTTGATATTTGGCGTTACTGGATATTCAAGAGAATCAATGAATACATTTGATTGTGATGTACTCTTCAAACATTCCAGTTTCGAAGCATTTTCAAAAGCCTATGCTTACAAGCAAGTATTAAATAATCAAATTTCTCGACAAGAATTTGATTGTCGACATTTTGAATATACTTGGTTATTTTATAAAGCTGCACAATCGATGTTTAAGCGAAAGATACAACTGATCCAGATTCCACTACAATGCGATCTTGATCTTTTTTTATTGAATTCAATGACCGATGAATTAGGCGCATTTTCTGATCGATGGTCAAAACATGCCGCAAGCAATCCCTGTGGCGATGATTGTTCCAAACTCATGGTTATCGATGGGCATCAGAACCATATAGCCGAAATATACAGTTTTGGAAGTTTTATCGAATGAATCTGGTTTGAGTCGAAAAAAATACGCGTTGTTAATGAGGTTTTCTGGAAAACTGTAATTTCTTTTAAACTGCGATTCGATGGAGCGTCAAATTCTGAATAAAGTGTTATATTATGCATCCTTCTTGATCGATTTTCAAAAAACTACAGCGGTTGATATTTAGCTGGAGGAAGTAGAAAAACTGTGTTTTTGGAGGCTTGGTTCCTCTGTACATTCCTCATAAATTTGAATAATATAACACTTTACTCAGAATTTGATGCTTCATCGAACTGCAGTTTAAAAAGAATTACTAGGTTGTTCTAAAAAACCTTTTCCTCAAAAACCCGCTTTTTGAAAAAAGCGTATTTCTTTTCGAGTAAAGGTAGGTTCATTCGATAGAACATCCGAAACTGTATATTTCATATTGTTTAGACCTTTTCTTTTGTCATGAGGAGAAAAATACGCAATATATTGTACAGATTTTTCGAGGTTAGAACGACTTTTACAGTGAAAATCGCTATTTGGAACATTTTAAATGACATATGGTGTATCGTTTCGTAGCCAGTGAAATTCTCCATCTAATAATATATAAAGCAAAGTGGTTAAAGAGTCGTGTTGTAGACATTTACACATGATTCGAATGAGCACAAAAAACTCAAGAAAACCCGATACTGTTCAGGTCTTAACTAAAATTTTTCGCTGTCGAAAAGTTTGTGCCTTGAGAACTTCGCTTTTCGTCCTAATCCGACAGTTTGAGCAATTTTTTTTTAGAAAAAGTCTAATTACTTAGTGACTCCCCAGGTTCACGGGAGAGAGGAGTGACTGATGGGAGGTGGAAAATGTCGCCTTGAGGACATAGTTTCTTCGGTCAAACTCATTCAGCTGAGCAATTCTGCCTGTAATAAAAAATATTTTTTTCCAATGTATAGGGGTTCCAAGAATCATGTGGAGGAGGAATGTGGAAGTGAGAATGTAGAAAAACAATTATTTTTCCAAAGTTAGCAGCTCTACGATTTTCTCATAAGAAAGCATGTGATAGAATGAGATGTTCTTGCTGTAACTCAAGTACGTGTTGACCAATCATTCTCACCTTCGAACTCGACCGAGAGATTGTTGAGACGATTGTACATACAAAGTTTCATCACATTCGGTTCAGATTCTAAAGAGTTATCGTGTAAAGGACCGGACAACCTGATCGATTTTATAGTGTGCTCACTTTTTTGGTATCAACGTGAATTTTGCATGAACAAAGTTTAGTGGAGCAAAATGCTATTGAAATGACTATTAAATTGAATAGAGTATTTTACGTCTCATAATTCTCCAAGAGTTACATGCTTCATTTTTCTAAATC